GAACTTCTCCACCCCTGAGGAAAGATGCAAATGCACTAAAGCCATACTTCTTTCCACCTCTGAACGCCTATTGATATGCAGATATACTAAAGCCAGGCGAGATATTCTGGAAATGTTTCAATTTTACCCACACACTGTCTTCTGTACTCCTCATTTTGTTACTTGGTAAAACAATAACAAAAAGAATTAGACTGCTTCATTGCACATTCCCAATGAGAATCCAAACTCAAGAGCAAAGACCATGGGAATCTTCTTCAAGCACTAAATGTGAATAAACTCTTACGGACAGCAACCACAGTTTAAGAAAGGAGCCACAAACATACTAAATTGATCTGATTTCATTCGTGCCTGTATTGAGAGGATCTTAGATTTAGTAATTTTAAAAATTACTAATTTAAAATTCACTTTATGCACGAAACCAGCCACTACCAAGGTAAGTTTCACAATGATTAATATCAAAGTTAAGATTAAAGAGATATGCTGGGAATTCACCCAGAACGCCGAAAAGGTTTGAGAAGTGGGACCACTCATCAACTGCCGAAGGTTAGCAGAGAAGTGAATGGGAGCAAGGGCGGGGGCAGTTCTGCCTATCAAGTGCTTTAGTCGGCACCCAGGTAAGACGCAGGACGGGAGCCATTCTCACCACCGGCAACGGAAGTCTGCCGCGCTTCGGAGCCCGCGGGGCTGCGCCTGCCTGAGCCACCTGCGGCCGCCGCGGTCGCGGCTCCGCCCGGGCCGGGAACAGGACGAGCCGCGCCCACCGACCCCTTTTCTCGCCCTGCTCCAGCGCCGCGGGGGTGGCCTCCATTTCCTGAGGCGGGGACCGCAGTGGCCCGTCCTCGGACTCGGCCTCGGCCACCGGTCACCTGGCGCCAGGAAGCTTCCATCCCTACAGAGGGGGGAAAAAGGCATTAGGAGCGTTAACGCACGGGTGCCAGAGGGGGATCCGGGGCAGTGGGGGAAGCCCGTGCGAGGGGCCGCATGAGGGGCCCCGCAGGGCGTGGACGGGTCCGAGAAGGTCGCGGCCCTGTCTCTCCCGGAGGGCGGGTCCCCGCCAAGCCCCAGCTTCGGAGATGGACCACAGAGGGAGAGGACTAGGCAGAGAAATATAGGGGAGAGGAGCACCCAGCACCGGAGACGGAGAGCAGAAGAGGAGGAGAGTGCCTCCTCAGCCTCAGGAGGAGCGCGATACGGGAGGGCGCCTGACTGACCCCGCGGCTCCCGCCGAGAACCAACTGCAGTAGTGGACCTCAAGGAAAGCTACGTCTCCTTACCGACGGAGCCCGCCCCCAGCGACTACAACTCCCAGAAGACGCCGTTCGCGGCCCGCAGAACGCGTGGCATCACCGGCCACTTCCTTATCCGGGAGTTGGGCGGGCCGGTGGGGAGGATCTCCGAGCGCGTGCGCTGCACTGCCGGCCTCCAGAAACTACGATTCCCGGCGTGCTCTGCGTCTCGGAGAGGGAGGGCAGTAGAAGAGGACGCGAGGCAGAGAGCGGGCCGGCGTGCAGTGCTGCCCACCGCCGAAGACCTTGCTATTGTCCCAGAACTGCTTTAAGCCCAGCCTTGTGTCAGGTTTCAGACCAAGTGGCCATAGTTGGCAATCCGCTATCGTTAGCCTTGCCTTCGGGTTTTCAGGTGGCAGGGGTATTTTCACTGTCTGGAATAGATACAATGAAAACACCACGAGGTCAGGGAAAAGGGAGGAAAAGTTGGGGGGAGTGTTAGCAGTTGCGAAAAAGTGGCTGGAGCGAAGAAAGCTTCATTCTGAATTGCTAAAGCAATGTAAAAGATAAATGGTGCTCATTATATAGTTTCAGTATGGTTTTCCTGAAGCAGGCCAGTCTACCTTCACAACAGCTCCCTAAAGTAGATTTTATCAAGGAAAATAGTTGAGAACCTAGACCTAAGTCTTCTGACTTCACTGAGTTTATCGATAAGACACAGATTTCAAAATTCAAATTTTGGGGGTCTGGATCTGAGAAATATATTGATTGCTGTCTGGAACTACGCAGTCCTTATATAATCCTTCCACTTAATTCATCTGCATTAATAATAAATACCTATTTATTTTTTTCTTTTGTATCTGGTTTAATAAATACCTATTTAGATAGCATGTTGTCTTGCTGAAGGTTCTCAGCTCCAGCCAGGTTCATTATGGATTCAGTAAGAAGGAATAATGACAAAAGAACGTTGGGGGTAAAAGGTCTTATACCAAGCTTTATTCTCATGGTGGCAGGACCAGCACTAGAATCAGGTCCACATTCACCTCCTCCACATCTGTGCCTCTCCCCTTTCAGGCAACCAGGGAGAACACTGGGCAGAGCTCTTACTATAGGAACATAGTCAATAACAGCAAAAATTGCCAACACCTGTACAAGCATGCATCGCTGAGCATTGTGCCTGTGCAGTGGGAAAGTAGATTAGGGTCAGGTGAGGATCCTGGCCATGGTAACTTCCATTTTCCCTACACATGTATTGAGAGCCAGGCACCAAACATCCTAGCAGAACCAGGACTGCAACTGAGTAGTGTGATTCCTGGTTCATATTCTTAAACACTATGCCATGTAATTACTGTGCAAGTGTATTTAATGTTTACATAGAAATTCCATCCCAGTGGAGGCAAAAGGCTAATCAGGCAAAAGGCTCATGTAATCAGAATTTTTCCCTTGTCATGTCATACAATGAAAATTGATAATCATAATAATTACTTTGGAATTAGAAATAATCTTATGTGTTCTCTGAATTAGCAAACATTTATTATAGTATTACAGTAATGTTTTGTAGTGAAGAGCTATATATCATAAGGTGGAAGCATATGTAAATTGAGAACATGTTTTCAAAAGTTACCACTGCTGTTATTTTTACTCTGAAATTTCAAATAATGTTTGGGAGAAATGAGTTCTTTGTATTTATAACAAAGGAGTATGAGAAATATATTTAAAAATTATAAAGAAAAAATTAAAGGTTATGAAGATTAGGAATATTTGTATAGATCTGATTAATTTTAATTCTTAAAAACAGTACCCTGAAGAGCAGCTAAAAACAAAGAATGGACAATGTCAAGTGTTGGCAACCAGGTGGAGCAACTGGAACTCTCACACTTATTTACGGGAGTGAAACTTGGTTTAAACACTTTCAAAAAATGTGTGGCAGTATCAACTAAAGCAAAACATGACCTACTATTAAAGCATTATGACCAAGAAATTCCAATTCTGAATATGTAACTAAAAGAAATGAGTGATAGCTCCACAAAAACTCATGTTTATAGCAGCTTCTATTCATAGTAACAAAAACTAGTAACAACCCTAATATCTAACAATAGCAGAATAGAAAAGTAAATTTTGGTATATTAGTATAATGGAATGCTATGCCGTATATATATATATTTCAAAGATATTTCATATATATATTATGAAACATGTAGCCAGATGGGTGAATCTAAAAGATATCATATTAGCAAAAAAAACTAGACACAACAGAGTACTTACTTGCTACAATTTCATTAAGTTTCTCAACAAATAATAGAAATCAGATTAGTGCTTACCTCTTGGGGTAGGGGCAGAAAAATAAGGTATCCTCCTGAGTGGTGGAAAAGTTCTATTTTGATCTGTGCAGTTATACTTGCACACATGTAAAAATTCAAAAAAGTATACATTTGTGACTCATGTGATTTACTATACGTATGATAGACCTCAATTTTATTGAAAAGAATAATAAAATAAAATACAGAACAATAAGCTATCTGAATACCCCTATTTGTCCAGACATTTGAAAAATGGGATTGAATTGTATTTATTTGTCCATTAATGACATATCATCCTGATACGGATTCTTTTTGACAAAGCATCCATATATAACTCCCCAAATTCATTTATTCTTTACATCTATAATTAGGTAAGCACTTGCCAGTTACCAATTTTATTGCCTCTCAGCTTCAATTCGCCCTATAATATACCTATGCTCTTTATTAAAGGACAGAAACTCCTTTAAGCTTTTCTCCCCTCAGAGCACAATGTCAAGTTTTCTCAACAGAGGGAGCTAGAGAGACACTAAAGAAAAGAAAGTGTTCTGGTATTTTACACTGCCGCCCAGTGGGTCAGAGACCTTACAGCTTCCGCCAGGCCTGGTGTTAACCTTCTGAGCAAACATCTCAACTGGGGAACTGGCCCCAAGGCCTTCCACTCACATCTGCGCCCTGTGCCGCCACTCATTTTGCAGATGATCCCCCAACCCCCATCCCCTATACCACTCCCTCTGCAGACCCCGGCACAGCTCAACTGTGCCCAGCCCCCATTCTCTGGCGCACCCACCCCCATAGTTCCTGATCAGCAGCACTCCAGAGGGATTGCAGAAAACCTGGGGCTAGAACAAACCAGAAAGCTTCTCCAAATAAGATCTGAACCCCAGCCTTGGGGAGGAGGACCTTTCCAAGTTTGTCCTTCCTTGGGTACTCTCCTTCAGCCCTAGAATACCAAATATGGTATCCTTACAGCCGTTCTTTTATCAGAGCTTATAAATTCTTTACATTGAACTTAACCCACTGCGTGGTTTCTATTCAGGTGCTAAGCATTTTATATCAACTATACTTGTCATACTGGATATGACCCAAATTGACTGCAACAAAAAAAAAAAAAAAAAAGGTGTTAAGAAGGAAATAAAATATACAACATAAAATGCAAAATATACTAACCAAAATAAGTAAAAACGATGTTCTGCTGTATGTGGAACAGAAAATTAGAAAATATAATCAGGTTGATTTCCCTAGACAGTATAAAATGCACATATCTTTAGGGAATTGATTCTTTTTTGCTTTACCTAGTAATATTCAGAATTGTATGATAAAAAGTATTGTATAATGTGAATTTCATGAAAATGAAGTTAAAATTGTTTTTTTTAAAAACTGGGCTATCATTCTGGTTTCTCTGGGAAAATCTTCTTAACAGACAAAATCAGCCATTTATTCATATTTAATATTAACTGTTTTCAAACAGTCAGCTTATATAGAATAAACAATCTATCCATCAATCCGTAATTGAGTCTAGTACATACCAATACCGTCAGGGGTTGGACATATGTACTCAAAGATGGAAAGTGTTCACTGTTACTAAAGTACCAGGATAAGGATGAAGAGGCACATGAAGATGCTGAGAACTGAGCAAATTATTAAGTTTCCAAGGGGTGGAGAGAAGTAGTCCATCTCCATATCAATAAGTGATTACACAGGGGAGGAAGGGCTCAGTCCTACAAGACTGGTCCACCCAACTTGAGATGCCAGTCTCAAGTGCCATGTCATCACCTGTACTTCTGACCAACCAGCTATAAATCCAAGACCCCATGGCCCCATCCTCCTATTCAATAATTTGCTAGAACGGCTCAACTGAAGGGCCTTGTGGTACAATGTCTACCTAGAATTAAAATCGCAGTAGGTAGGACTCTTAGTTCACAAACTCAGATGTGCAAATAATCACATTTCTTCTTTCAATCAATTTAATTTGAACTCTTAGTGTTATCATCCTGGGATTGGTTAGAAATTCATGCATTTATTAATTCATTCAATGAATATTTATAAAGCCCCTATTTTGCCCCAGGCACTTTCTGGGTACTGGAAATAGAGCAATAAATGCAATAAAATACTTGTTCTTATGGAACTTATATTTGAGTGGGGGATACAGATAAGAAACAAGTAAATAAATTAAGATATAATGTCAAGTAGCGATCTATACAGAAGATCAGATGAAAATTGAACTGAATCTATAATTCAACTTAGACTGGGTAGTCAGGGAAGGCACTCATGACATTTGAGCAGAGACTTGAATGAAGGGACAACATCCATTGGAATCTGGGGAAAGAATTTCCCAGAAAGAGGAAAGAGAAATTACAAGGACCCAGAAAAGGGAGCAAGCTTGGTATGTTCAAGGAACAGCAAGAAAATAACTGAAAGAGAACGAGCAGGCAGAAGAACAGTAGGAAGTTAAATCAGAGAGGTAACCAGGGGCCATTGAATGTAGGACTATTATGTGGATTTGGGATGTAATTGTAAGCAAGCTGAGGCAAGGAAGTGACATGATCTGATTTTGTTTTTAAAAAGATCACATCGGCAATTGTATGGAAATGGACCACTGTGGAAGGGGAACAAGAGGGGAGCCAGAGACCAGTTAACAAGCTCCTATAGTCCAGGTGAAAGATGGGGGTTTGGATGAACAGTGGATGTGGTTGGTGAATTACAGGCAGATTCAGGATAGATTTTGTGTTGAGCTGACAATATTCACTGACAGATTATAACA